ATCCGTGTGGCCTGAAAAATAGTACAGACCAATGAAAAAGATCAAACCAATTTATTATTTAATGTAAATAAATATTGAACACTACCTTTCATTGCAGCTAAATGAAGAGGTGTCTCACCATTTTTATCTCCTAAATCAAGATTGGCTCCTTTCGTGATGATTTTTTCAGCGACATCCTTGAGACCTGAAAAATAGCACAGATCAATGAAAAAAATCAAACCATTCTCTTATTTATCGAAAATAAATAATCAACATTACCCTTCATAGCAGCATAATGAAGAGCTGTCTGATTATAATGGTCTTTAACATCAACTTTGGCCCCATTGCTGATAAGCCTTTCAGCGACATCCTTGTGTCCTGAAAAGTTACACCAGTCAATGAATAAGATCAAACTAATTTCTTATTTATGAAGATATTCAAAACTACCATTCTCAGTAGCTAAATGAAGAGGTGTCTGATGAAATTGATCTTCAGAATCAACTCTGGCTCCTTTCGCAATTAGCTTTTTAACGTCCTCCAAATTACCTGAAACAGATCAATGAAATAGATTCAATCAATTTCCGATTTGGTGAGCCTAATTTTCCAGAGCTACCACTCTCAGCAGCGAGATGAAGAGCTGTTCGGCCGCTTTCGCCTTTTTTGTTTACTAAAAATTGAAAGAAAAAAAATAGATTAGTGAAGTGTATCAAAGGAAAATGTCTTACATCCGTGAGATGAACTTTTCCACACTTTCTTGTCTAAAATGATAGGGAAATGAGTGTTCAGTTATTTGGAGGACTTCTTCAATTCCACAGAAAAAATAAGGTATCCTATGTCGAGAACCCATAAAATAAGCTTATATTGAGCCTATTTTTAAAAATATAAATCCCGAATTCAGCCAGAAAATTTTTCTTTTTCTTTTATTGAAGCGAATATTTCACGTTACACTTTTGAAAAAAACAATTCCGTATTGGTAGTATTCGGAAAAAAACAACAATACCGTCAGAGACAAATACTCATTTCGAACTGATAATTACTTGATAGAGAATACGAATATCACAATGACGATTGGAATGGATGATTCAACGCGTTGTTTTTTTCTTAATCTAATTATACGTCAAACGAATGTTAAATGTAACGTTACATTTTGTATTTTTCAAAATGCAACAAATTCATCATGAATGGTTTGAATCAATTTGTTTTCGAATTCAGTCGTAAGCAATTTAGTTTTGCTGTACGTGTCATAATTTCATGCGTTTTCAGTTAAGTCGATTTTTAAATCGAATATTTGCGATACTCACATGAATCTCCGGGACTTCTTAGAGTCTTCGAGGAAGCCACATTTACCACTTTATCTATATATTATTGCATGAATTATTTTAATGTTCCGTTCTTGCCCAAATGGTCCGTTGTAAAAGTCAAATGGTTCGCTCCAAATCGAAAAATGGTCCGTAAGTCTTCATTAGTTTGATCATGTTTTGACCTTTCGAAATTTTTTCTTTCAGAATGACTGAATTTAAACCATTTTTTCCGAACACTTTATTTCCCATATAATTTTTCGAACACTTGGCAGAGAACGAGTTAAATTTCGACATATTGGTAGACAGCGAAATAGCAAACAAATTTTGCTGATTATTGCGGGAAAATCCCCACGATTTTGACATTTTGTACACTGATTTGACATTATTTTCGCAAAAAAACACAAAAAATCACATTCCAAATTCCCATTTTTCCTGGTGCATTTCTATTGAAGCGGCAATTTATGTTGCGTTTATGAGTGAAATCCCAATGTTCGGTTAGCCGAATAACCTATGGCTACTACGATGAAGTACGACGTTATATCTAACGAGAATTATTTACTCGCGGCGCCGTAAACGAAATCACACTTCGGCTTACGGAATATTAGTATTTCACGTTAAATATCGCGTGCACTGCATAGACGATTTTTCGGCAACTAAAGAATCGCTAAATAGAGTGAAATGCTATATCTACGCGTGTGACGACAAGTCCGTTGCCCCATTGAGTAGTGTCTACATTAGTGTTGGAAGAGGGTTAATTAAAAAGACTGATATTTTTCCGAGAGTAAGTATGCGTTGAAACTACGTTGTGATTGTGATTGACACTGGTTGAGAAAAGTTTATTTTTCCAATGATACCTACTTATTATTGTACATACAAACAGTTAAGGTTGCACCAATGCAGCAAAATGATATCTTCTATTTAAAACCGTAACAGAAAAGTAGATGGTTGAACAAAGCAACAATATTAATATTGTTGACCACACAAATTGATATGGTCAATGATTGACAAAAAATGTATTGAAATAATTCTTCCACAGGACAATCGAAAACGGGAATCGAAGGAAATCATCCGATTATTCAGCTATTCGCCACCTGGAAAATACAGATCGACTAAAGATCAAACAATTTCTTGTTTTGTGCAAATATAAAAAGAATAACATCCGTAATCCCGTATTTTTCCGTACAGTTTTCCGTACTTTTTTTCATATTTTGTATAAAGAAAAAAGCATTTTTTCAGTGAAAATCGGTCATTTTAGTCGAAATTTCGACAATTTCGTATGAGAGGTACTTGTAAATCGATTCCGAATGGCTTTAAACTTTCTGAGATTCCATTGAATGGCGAAAAAATAAGAATCTGAGAGTTTGAAATCAACCGGAATCGATTACACATCCCATACAAAAAAAAATTCAAGGAAATTTCAAGAAAAAATTTAGGGCCAAAAACCAAACTTATGCAAATGCGAATCGCGATCAACGTGAAACTGTCAGAATTTCATTTTTACACCAAAAAATGAAATCTCAGACAATTTGAAGCCAATCGGAATCGATTTACGAAAGATCAAACCTCCCATACAAAAATTTCATTCTTGGAGGTTCTTCTTCGGGATGAAATCGAAAATGGCCCATCTTCAAACTTAAACTAAGTTTTTCGGATACAAAACTTCTGGAAGTTCCAGATTCTGATTATCTCAACTATTTTCTGACTTATTATGTCAACACACACCAAGGACCACGACGACAACGACGACGACGACGGCACACAAACGGAAAAGTGTTTCATGAGTTTTCATGATGATTTAAACCAATTTTGCGAGAAAAAAAAAGTTCTCGGGACCAATTGCCTTAACAAAGTGTACGGAAAAGTAAAATATTCAACATTACCATTGTTGGCAGCATATTGAATCTATTCCAATTGTTCTGCAATATTAATTTTGTTTCCTTTACCGATAAAAAGTTTGGCGACATTATTGTGACCTAAAAAATAATACGGATCAATGATAAAGATCAAAGCGGTATTTAATTTAGTCAGCAGTACCATTGTTAACAGCTAACTGAAGAGGTGTTAGATTCGCAAGATTTTTAATATCAACTTTGGCCCCTTTTTTGATGAGAAGTTCAGCAACATTCTTGTGACCTTAGAAATAATTTGGATCGATGAAAAAGATCAAACCGATTCTTTATTTTGTGGAAATAACTATTCAACATTACCATTCTCAGCAGCATAATGAAGAGGTGTATGATTAAAATGATTCATGATATCCACATTGGCGCCTCTGTTGAGGAGAACCTCGGCGACATTTTTGTGATCTGGAAAAAAAATCGGATCGATGAAAGAGATCAAATCAATCGTTTCTTTAATAAGAACAAGCATTCAATATTACCACCGAATGCAGCTAAATGAAGAGCTGTGGTATTCAAATCATTTCCAATATTAGCGTTAGCTCCATTCTTAAGAAGCACATCAGCGACACCTCCGTAACCTAAAATAATACGGATCAATGAAAGAGATCGGCGGGATATCTTATTTAGTCAACCTTACCATTCATAGCTGCCACATGAAGAGGTGTCTGATGCAAATTATTTTTAATATCAACATTGGCTCCTTTACTGGTGAGAACTTCAGCGACGCTCTTGTGACCTAAAAAATAATTCAGATTGATGGAGAAGATCAAATCAATCTTTTATTTAATGAAAACAAGTATTCAACATTACCATTTTCAGCAGCTAAATGAAGAGATGTCTGATTCGAAATATTTCCGATATCAACATTGGCTCCTTTACTGGTGAGAAGTTCAGCGACACTCTTTTGACCTGAAAAATAACCCAGATCGATGAAAAAATTAAACCAATTTCCCATTTAGTGAAAAAAAAAGTCAAGGCTACACTGAAGAAGTGTAGTAGACATCACACACAAATCTGACATTCGTGTATGCTAGTCGGTTTTGTGTGTGAGTTGGTTGCGATGGCTGTATATGCGACGTTTGTTTGCACGATAGTTGTGTGCGCGGCAGTTGTGTGTGATGTCAACTGTATTGCATCGCGATATGCTTGTCTTTTGGCCGAAGCTCGATATGCTTGTCTATTCAATGCTTGTTGCTGAGCAATACTAATGCGCATAATACTCGAAAAAAGTATTCAAAATTACCACGGGAAGCAGCATAATGAAGAGGTGTCTCTTTCATATTAGTTTCAGTATCAAGATTGGCTCCTTTGTGGATGAGAAGTTCGGCGATGCTCTTGTGACCTGAACAATAACACCGATCGATGGGAAAAAATCAGGTCAATCTTTTATTCAATAACAATAAGGATTCAACATTACCTTTCAAAGCAGCATAATGCAGAGCTGTCACATTAAAATCATTTCCAATATTAGGGTCGGCTCCTTCAGCGATGAGTTTTTGAGCTTCCTTCACTTTGCCTGAAAGAATATGAAAAATATTCATACATCAATGAATCGGATTGAACAAAACGTTTTTTTGAGAAAAAAAAATGTCCAAAATTACCAGCAAAAGCAGCTCTATGCAGAGCTGTCTCTCCATTTATGTCTTTTTCGTTCACTAAAATATGCATGAAAAGTTTAGCATAAATGAGGTTCCCATCTATCTTCGTTACAAGGTGCTTTGTATATGGAATTTAAGAGTTAAACTGGATAAATAAATGAAACTTCAATTTTACCGTTCCTCCTGGGTGGTGCTCCACTCACATCCCCGATTAAGAACTGTGGAAATAGAATCAAAGTGATACAATTGGAATGGGAACAGCGGATGACATTAATTATAAAT